ACTGATGAGCTGTGAATGAAACAGTCTGTTTATATATGATATATATATATATAAAAATGTATATATGTGCAGAACTCTACACACATAAATATATATTCTGCAAATAAGTACATATTATATATATATATATATATATATATATATATATATATCCACACACACACCGATTGTCGTTTTCAATATATGTGGGTTCTATAGCATGCCTTACTTGTATTCAGCCAGCTTGAGATCAATACAATGTTCTACATACATGACAAGGAACAGCACCCTTTATGAATGCCCTTTTATGTATATACTCCTCTACTTGACACAGTCAGAAGTCCCTTCCTCAACAGGTGTCTTCTCACATTCCAAGGCAGCTGGTTGTACATGACGAGGATTTTCAGAATTCTTTTGTCCATATATATATATATATATATATATATATATATATATATATATATATATATATAGTAGCCCAAAAAAAAGGGATAAAATTTTAAAACCTAATATTTGTTAGAAATAACAACTGTGAAAAGCTGAAATTTTGACAACTGGTAGTCGTTATCATCCATAACAACATACTAAAATTTGAAACATTTGCAAAGGATAGAAAAGAATTATAACAATTATTTATTTATTTTCAAAATAGGATCGTCCAAAAAGTAAGGGACAAAATTGAGAAAAACAATGTAAATAGTATGCTATATTCAAATTTTTGATTTCCTCAAAGAATAAGTCTTTACTTAGTCATTTGTAAACGTTGCATCAGTTGGCACCATGGCGAAACGCCAAAATCCTTGATTACTCTGTGAGACAAGCTATTGTGAAGCTACACAAGAAAAGCACACCATTAGAGAGATTTCAGAGAAAGTGAAATGTTCCAAGAGTGTTGTCAGGCAGGGTTGTTAAATCCTACAATGATACTGGCAAAATAATTAGTGCTTTTAAAACCTGCAGACCCCAAAAAACTTCGCAAGTGAAGATCGAATAATGCAGCGAGTATGTCATTAAAGGACCGCTTAAGTCTTGCACAGAAATTAAAAGGGTTATGAATAGTACCATGTGTTAATGTGTCAAGACAGACTGTTGGTAGACGACTGCAAGAAATAGGGCTGTTTAATCAAACCCCAGGGAAGAAACCACTTGTTAGTTCAAGAATAAGAAGAAGAGATTAGAGTTTGCAAACAGGTATGTAATTTGGACATATGAAATTGGGCAAAAGTATTTTTCAGTGATGAAAGCAAGTTTAATTTATTTGAAATGATGGAAAAACAATGTAAAGAGACGACAGGAAAGATTAAGCAAAGTGTACTAAGAAAACTGTCAAGTTTGGGGCGGAAGCGCCATGGTATTTGGAATGTTTTCTAGCCAAGGTACAACGCCTCTTGTCCGTTACAAACTCGTAAACGCCAGAGATCTATAAAAACATTGTTCAACATCATGTTGTGCCAATCATACAGAATTCAGGTTTCGATAGGGCTACCTTTATGCAAGATAATGCCCCATGTCACAAGGCAAAGGTGGTAATGAGTTACCTTAGCGAGCAAGATTTAGAAATTATGGATTGGCCACCGCAAAGTCCTGACTTAAATCCAATAGAAAATCTTTGGAAGACCTTAGGAGTGAAAGTTATGGAAAGAAATCCCACTAACACGGAGGATTTGTGGGTGAAGCTTCAAGAAGAATGGTCTAAAATTAGTATCGAGGATTGTCAAGAACTGATTTGTTCTTGTAGTCGAAGATGTGCAGCTGTCATTGAGAGCAAGGGCTCATTTACTAAATATTGATTGTACATATATTTTTATTGTTTTTTGGCCGTTTACATTGTTTTTCTCAATTTTGTCCCTTACTTTTGGACGTTCCAAATTTGAAAATAAATAAATAATTGTTATAATTCTTTTTCTATCCTTTGCAAATGATTCAAATTTTAGTATGTTGTTATGGATGATAACGACTACCAGTTGTCAAAATTTCAGCTTTTCACAGTTCTTATTTCTAACAAATATTAGGTTTTAAAATTTTGTCCCTTAGTTTTGGACGCTACTGTATATATGGGAGGCAGATCAAAAGTTGTCAGCCTGAGCAATACTTTTAATAATTTACAAAACCTTAATAAAGTGAGCTGGTTATAGTTTTGTAACTTATAAAACCTAAACAAGAGAAAGTGCTGAAACATCTCAAAATCTGACTAAACAAGATTTTTTTAGAAGGGCTTCTTGGTCATACTGGGAACTTGTCTGTTGTAGCATTACTAAGGAACAGTAAAAAAAGAACAAAAATAACCAGGAATCTTACCTGTTTTTCTGCTGCTGCCAATTCGTACTCTGTAATTGTTGCAATTTTCTTTTGCTGTTCAACAATTCTTTGATTAACCTGCTCATCTTTTTTCTTTTCATTTTCGAAGAATTTTGAACCTGACAAAAGAAAATACACAAATTTTATTTTCAATAGGTTAACATGACACTGATAAAATATATCCAATCTTTGGCCAAAAGTTAAAAGAATTCTGTGACATTTAGGAAACAGCATTGTGTTATCTTGATTCAAAATGCTGTCTTGAAAAAAATATTGATTAAGAGAATTGTAATTAGTCATTTCACATTATTTTATTAAAATAAATGATAAATTATTATTAAAACTTTCAAAACTCATTCACCCTTGAAGAAAGAAAAGTAACTCACTCCAATACATAATTGTTGTAGTAAAGAAAAGAAAAGACTGTCAACTTATAGTAGCAACTGCAATAGATTTCTTCTGTTTCTCGACCGCAATTGCAGTTCAAATGAAAGCCCGTCATAACAGTCCAACAAGCAAAGTAGAAATGACAAAATGGGGTCACACATCCAACCTTCACTTCTGAAGAGCAAAAAATGCATGTTCGGCTCACCAGCTCAGAAAATCTTCTGCCTTTATAAGCGAAAAACAACGTCTTTGGTCCATCAAGAGATCTTTCTGATTGGTCACACCATTCAGGGAAGGGGAGAACATTAACATAGATTCTAGTCATTGAAGTAGATTTTTACTAACTACTTTTTGGTAATTTTTCTTCAGCAGATCGCACACAAAACACAAACTTTTTTCAGAGTAACTGATTATATCTTTCACTACAATAATTTATGGAACATCATAGATCATAACTAACACAATCTTTTCTCAACAGCAGCTTGCAGCAAACTATATGCTACTTCAAGCAAATCTTTAAAATAAATTCTGAACTCATGAATATTCATCAGCCAGTGGTATTATAAGTATTGCATTTGTGTATACACACTTTTCACATTGCAAATGGCCACCTAGGAGGCACGGTGGAGTAATGGATAGCATTTCAGATTGAGGAATAAGAGACAAGTTGAATTCCAGTCAAATCCATTACATCCATGTGCTAATACCCTTGGGAAAGGTATGAATCCTCTTCTTCTCTCCCAAGCTATGGGTAAATAGCAGGACAGATCATGTTCTATAGCCTTGGATGGCAATTGGTCTACTGCAGAAAGAAATGGCAACCTACTATGGGAAAAAATCTGCCTCATTTGTCATGTATTATGTATTACTAGAACTTGAACCCTAAAAAGGAGAGTTGTTATGTTCAACTATCCATTCCTGCATAAATTCTTCACATCAGAAGAAATCAAGGCTGTCTTTATGTTTCCAAAATGCCAAGATTTCACAATGATTGATTTGAAAAGTGCCACCATTTAACAGTGATGGGTTTGAAAAATGCCACCATTTAACAGTGATGGGTTGGAAAAGTGCCAACATTTCACAGTGATGGGTTTGAAATGTGCCAACATTTCAGTGATGGGTTTGAAAAGTGCCAACATTTCACAATGATGGGTTTGAAAAGTGCCACCATTTCACAGTGCTGGGTTTGAAAAATGCCACCATTTCACAGTGATGGGTTTGAAAAATGCCACCATTTCACAGTGGTGGGTTTGAAAAGTGTCAACATTTCACATTACATGACAGAAGAAAGTTGAACAATGATAGCTGGAAGGCTGCACACAATCAGTTGAGGCAAAAGATTTCCAAAATACATGGAAATGCATACGTGTATAGTCACAAGAAATTTGGTTCAAAATGATATCACAGTATCAGTTATGCAAAATAGCAAGTTTGATATCTGGTTCTATTTTCTTACCCAATTTCAAGCAGGTGGCATAAATTGTGGATATGTATGAGAGAGAGTGAAAGGGAAAAAAAGGCTATACCACTAAATCCAGAAGTCACTGTTAATGTGTACAGCTTTACAATTTGGTGTTCTCTGAGTTCATGTTGTTCAGTTACAAATAGTCAGTCCAGTTAAGACAATCAAATTCAAATTAAAAACAAGACTAGTTAACTGTTAAAAAGGTTTTAATTATCTTACAAAAATACACTCAAGGAGTTATTTGTTGGACATTGTTAAATCGTGGGAAACTTAAATTAGTGCTGAGATAATTTGATAGAAATTTAAACAAAGATAAGAGAATTTCAAAAATGGCTTCTTTGCATTTGTGCCTCTTTTAATATTTTAGTATTAAATTCGACCACAATTCTGACCTAGTGAATGCCACATTTATTAAGAGAAAGTAACGTAGAAGAAAAATTCTTGACAGTGCTGTTATTGAATCTTATCAAAATATAAATCTGCACTCTGGTGTTTTTTTCAATATCTCCATTCCTGAAAGAATTACTCCTTTCCTAAGCCAACATTCATGACTACAAAAATGTTAAAAAATTAAAAGACAGACAAGGTGCTTTTATTTAGTTTTTTATACAATTTCTCATGCGATCTAATAATTTTTTCTTTTCAGATGATAAATTATATAAAAACTGTCTTAATGTGGTAGGTGATGTTTATATATATATATATATATATATATATATATATATATATATATATATATTAACTGATTTAAAATATGGTTTCTTCGCTACACAGGAATTACCATGTTTCAAAAACCAAAGTTCAAAACTACAAATTTAATTATATAATTAAATTAAAAGCATTAGTTCTGTTTCATCTTCAAGCGAATTTTGGAATAACTTACTTTTAAATTTACTAAGTTTTAAATGCACGTATGATTCATAATGTTTTGTTTCCAAAGATACAAAGAAATCCAATCATTTAGACAGAGGCAGTAGTGTGTTCATTTTTATTATCTATTGTTGTATCAATTATGAGTTATGTTCAAAAAAGAGGTTAAGTCTAGGGATGGTAGGGGTGCATTTTTCAACAAATTTTGACATCCATTCAACGTATTTTGTCTGGTTTATTTTATCAACGATAAAAAGTTTTTCAGATTTTTTTCCGTTAAATTCGTACTTGTATACTTAAAGATTCTTTCTAAAAGAGATGTTTGGGTTAGAATACGTTATATTGAACTACAATTGTAAAATATTATTTTTACTCTTAATTACTAATAGACTATATTTCTTTTTAAATCAAATAAATGTAATAGAATTACTTAAATTATTTAAAAATTATTATTACATATCAAATATAAGTATGTATATTACCAGCTCCCATTTTTTTATTTTTAAATATTATTTAAGGAAAATTTTTGACAATGTCGGCAAAGAATAGCTATTCCATTTCTTTGATTAAGTAAATTTTTCTTTTTTATAAACTTAGTAATATATAGTTTTTCATGTATGCACAAAGCACATGAGTCATTTAATGACCTACATATTCTAGCTTTTCTTATTAATTTCCATTTTACTGTAGGTGTTTTATTGCTTTCTTTTAAGTGCCAGAAATACCGAAATTAGATGTTCCTATTGAAATATTTCTGTAAATTTACATTGAGCACTGTTTTGTAAAAATAAAAAATATCAATAAGAACACCGGATTATATATCTTACTGTTCTTTCTTATTATTATAATATCTCCCTCTCTCTCTCTCTATATATATATATATATATATATATAAACATCACCTACTCGCTTTCACTTATTAGACATTGAATTGTATCACTTCATGTCTTCTATAAACTTGCCTGACTTTTCTGCTAACCTGATGAATATTCATGAGCACTCCTATACCAAAAGATTTTCGAAAACCAATAACATTTTTGCTCTTGTATATAAATACATGTCACAAAATAAAATCCTTACATTTGACTTGATGAAGACCCTCAGAGGACAAAACACAGCAACTCAGATTAGTTTTCCTTATCTTTATCCATAGTCCTTTTACTGTTATAATTTAACTGCAATATATATACACACACATACACACAAACACACACAGGTTATTTTCGACTTATGTCAGAGATTCGTTCCTACGGCATAACATAACCTGATTTTCAATATGGGTTGGAACTCATGTATATAAGCACCTGCCTTACTCTTGGAAGCCATAATGAAGCACAAAAGTTCCCAAAAAAGTGACACAAATGAGAGATAATGAATGTAGCACAATACAATATGGCATACAGCTGGTGAAGAAACAACAGAGTCTTCCTAATATAGTGCCACGTGACAACATATTACATTAAGGGAGATGCTGCCGTAACCATAAAACGCCCTAAGTCAGGTTCAGCATAACCCAAGTACCTTCTGTGTGTATGTGTGTGTTGTATATATATATATATATATATATATATAAAAAGAGAAGTAAAAACAAGAACAAATCTATTTCCATACCTGAGGATGTCTGTAGGAACAGACGAAAGCTTGTAAAAATTAAAAAGACCTTATGCAACTGGAATTTATAAACAGGGATCATATCATTCATATACAGGTTCGGGTTGGTATATCTTATTGATATTGTTTGCGAAGATGTATTCTCGCCATTTAAATCTTTAACCTCTATATTTGTTTTTTGTATGAATGATTCATGAATATATATATATATATATATATATATATATAATAAAAACTTAAACACTAATATTCCATGGAATATTAGTGTTTAAGCCTTTTTATTATATCCTTACTCTGTCCTAGACATTGAGTTCTACCTGGATCCTTCCTCTTGGAAAATTTTTTTTCTGAAAATATACATGTATGGGAATTTTTAGATATATTTTTCATATGTATGTATATTTTCCACTAATATTATCTATATATATATATATATATATATATATATATATATTTCAAGGGAGATAATTTAATTGCTATTGAGGTGTACTATCCCATACTTATATGTATAGAATTAAAAGAAACTTGAATGTAAAAAAAAATAATTCCTATTTTTCACATAATGCACAAAAGTAACATAATCTCCAAGAAAGAAAATTCTAATTTTTAACTTTTATTTGTTTTTTCAAAGATTGATTCAATAGGTCATAGAGTTGTCTAGAAATATACAATATTTCTTTCACAATGGCACTTTGAAACAAATAAATTGACATGCAATATTTTTTTTGTGATTGATTAAAGTTTGAAGAAAAAAAATGTTTAAATTTTTGTTTGTTGCTTTAGTTCATTCTGCAGCATTTCTTCTGCAAAAGAACTACTTAGGCTTTTAACCTACATTATTTTTATTATTTTTTTTTTGTGTGTAGAAACCAAAAGGTTTGCTTTCAAACATATGAATGTTTAAGAAAACTTTCATATTATCAAAATTGTTTTTGCAGTTGACAGCATTTTCCCATTTTAATTATTTACTTGTTATTTTTGCTATTTATTAGTCAAAGAAAATTACTAAACAGAAAGCTAAAACTTTGTACAAACTGAAAGAAAAAATGTGTAAAATCTGAATTCCAAAATGAACTACAATAAATAAATATACGTTCTTTTGGTAATGTGGCATTTAAGTGCCTGGATATTCTTGGCAATCATTTTATCGAAAACTTTGGAATAAAACAAACTGACTCAAGGGGATAAAATAAATAATATTTATTTGATTTAGGTTAAGCTATAATGTGTAATATTCATCCCCAGCTAGAGAATGTACTGCAAACATCTAGTCTTCCATTCAGCCAACGCACTGGTGCTGGATTTATGGACTGGCATTCACGACACTTCTGAACCACCATCTTGGCAGCTGTGATAGATACGGAGAGATCAACTCATCTAACAAAATAAGTGGTGTGCTTAACACCACGGTGACTGCTACACTGATGTATTTTCATTATTTCACATGGACTCAGCTCTCCCATGCTTGTACAACATGCTGAGACGAGAGGTTCAGTGTCCTTCAACAAATCTGACCACATCTGTGCAACTCAGGTAAATTTGTCAGCTTTATTTTGATTGGATTTAATCAGCTTTACAAGCAAGGTGAGGCCATATTCTACAATTAGCACCCAAAATGTCCACAGTTGTCTCCATAGAAGCGTCTCACATTCTACCTTCATTTTTAGGCATGCCTTTCCAGTCAAAGTGGCGTTGATCCAGTGGTGAGTACATGCTGAATCAGTGACGAAATGCAACATTTTCACCTTTCACTGCAAGGCCAAGTCTATGCCCTTTAACATTGTGGCGAGCTTGGCAAAGTTGATATGTTGAGCATCACTGTCACAACAAAGCCAGCATGCACCCTCCACAATGTCGCCATTCACTTCCAATGCCACACCAGTGGCCAGAGAACTTGCATCCAGTCATACTGCCATTTCCTGGCCACTCACACACCAGCCGCCTCTTGCAGGGTCTTCTTGACACTCTCTCGTCACCATCTGATGGATCATGCTCTTCAAGGGGGACATTGTATGTTTTGTCATCCAGCCCATTGGCAACTGCATAAACTATAAATTGGTTTACATTATTAGATGTTTATCCATTTCCTTGAGTCAATGATGCTCATCACTTCAAGCATGCTGCTGCTACCCTATGCCAACCACATACCAGAAGGCAGCCTACAAGCTTTCTGCAGAGAGAGAACGCATTACAACGCATGATAACAGTTGGGGTCTCTGGGAACTTACTTGCTCGTTTCCATCAAAGCATGCCACGCTCTCACCGAGACTTGCAAACTAAGCATTTTTGCACCATCATCGACTCTCACAGGGTCCTTACAGATCAGACATATTTTCTGGCTTGTGTCATGGAAACTGCAGTTTTGTTGTTGAAGATGTCATCTATGTATGCTGAAGTAGCATCTTGGATTGCTTGATAGTAGTCTTGATAATTGTCTTCATTGGTATCACATTGAGGCCAAAGCCTAATTGCATAAGGCCAGTACCTCCACTCTTTCAGTAACATAGTCTGGAAAGGCCACAGCAACCGGTATACATGAACCTAGGTATGCTCTCCTAAGGTCCAACAGGGATACATTGCACCCCTGTTGACACCATTCCTTTAGCTTGCCTGTACAGATATCCGCACTTGCATGAATGCATCTACATACTCGTTTAACTCTATAATCAATTATAGACTATACGTTTTTCTTGCTCTCTTGGATAACAGCCATCAGGGGAACTAGATCCTTGGGAGGTTCAAGCTCCTAAGGATATGGTATGAGTCAGCCATTATCGAAACATACTTCTAATTCCTGTTGATATTCCTTATGTGCTAGCTCAGACATCTTGTTTCGTATGCTCATTAGTGCCTGATTTTCAGCATACTTCCATAACACTGTACACGTTTTCTTTTTCTGGTCAAACTTGACATTAAAGTCCTGTTCTTCTATGGTGAGAGACACACACAGGGATGGTTTTACTCAAATAGAGTGATTCCTACTCTCCCCAGTTCTTTGATCACATTCATCTTGATCATGAGGTCAAAACCAAGTGACGTCTCTCTCAAGCCGATCTTGATAGGACTTCCAACTTGTAGCTGGAGAGCAATGACTCCAATTCCACAACAGGCGCTGGTCTTCACATCTATAGTTGTTATGCATACAGGACCTTTCATCCATGACTAGCATATCTCTCTGCTGGCTATAAACAGCAAACAACCAGTATTAACAGGCATAGTAACAGTTTTGTTACCAACCTGGACCAAGATCACAGGTAATGTCAGGCTAAAGAATGGTATAGACAAGCATATGTTTGCAAGAAAGAAATACGACAACAGCAGAAATAGATTTACGTGAATTATTTCAATAGGAGCGTGTGGTTTTGGGACAGCTACCTTGTGGTATAGTTCATAAGCTGGCTGCCGGTCTGGGTTGATCTCTCATAGTAGTTCTTGCTGGTTGGCGCAGCGCTACTGCTGCTGACTGCCCGTGACAGATCTCTTCCTTGGCCTCCTGTTGACTTCTGTTGTACTTCCCCGTGTGACCACTTTTATGGCGTTTTTTTATGGCTTAACATGCTCGTAAAACGACGCAAGTATAATTAGGAGGGAAGCATTTTCATTGGTCAAAAAATAGAAACACTTTAAAATATTATTTTATTTTTCGACCGGAACTCATGCGTCGGGCTCATGCGTAGACAACAATAATGGTCATTTTGTGATGGGGCCTTGTCCCGTTCACATCCATCTCTTGCTCTTAAGTATGTTAATTTATTTGCCTGCAAATCAGCCGAGATATGTCTTATTTTATTTTATAACAAGATACTGACACTGATGCATCTCCCCTTCTCCCGTTTTGAGACATATGGCCCACAGTATGGTAACAGTAATGGCTCATAGTGTTGCATTGTCCTTACTCTCATCCCCTACCATTCTCTTGGCTCAGAAAATCTTTCACCACGCCATTACAGCTGAAGCACATTCTGACCTCATCTTCTGTGCTTTGCCTTGGCTGGGCTGCTACTGCCACTATGACATCCTCAATCTCCTCATCTCTCATAATCACCTGGGCTCAAGCATGGTCAATATAGAGTGCATCCATTCTAGACGACATATGAAGAGTCCACTTTACATTGCCTGGCAACCCATGCACAAATGTGCAAGCCAGCATACAGTTGCTCTAACATATGGTCCCTCCTAACAAGAAAGCAAGTTTCTTCAATTCAGCCAGGTATACATCCATGGATTTGCTGCACCACAGGTGCCACTTGATTTGTTTGTACACCATGAATGAAAGCGTAGCAAAGACTATAACTAAGGCAGTCTTTATCTGGTCAATGTTGGATCTTGCATTGTCATCTCGCTGCTGGTAGACAGCAAATGCTCTGTCTGTAAGTCTCAAAAAGATTATGTGCTCCAGAGATTTCACTTCACATAGCATGCAAACAAGTTCAAGTTTCTCCATCCATTCAACCACTGAAAGACCGGGTGCCGATCTATCAAACTCAGGAATTAATTTTAAGTCAAATTAAGTTTCCATTGTCCATCAATTGCTGAAATAGCTTGTATTTGTCTTGTCTGATTTTCCGCATGTCTGCATTTCCTGATTAAGAAAAAAATGATGTTATATGGCTCTCCCAGTGCCAGACCCCACACTGACTATTGGTTAATACCTGTCCAGTATAATTCATATGCAAATTGTCAGTGCCACCTACTGTAAGTAGAATGTCCTCTCTCAACACCCAATTGTGGAAGAGGCCATAACTCCTTGTGCTTACTGCACCACATGCAACCAATGCTGAGTCTTTTCTCTGGTTGACCCGATTCTCTGTTACATTTACCAAAAAGAATTGTAAATACAAATGGTTAGTTTTCAACACAAATATTTGACACTTACTTCCTTTCAAGTTGTTAGTGATCCACTTTTATTAGAATATAGAAAACAAGTAGAACTTTTAAATTTTCTATTTAAAAAAAAAGATCTTTCAGTTTTATTTTAAACTTTCAAACACTTTCTTTAATAAATCCTTATATTTCATTGACGAGAAGATGTGTGTGAAATCTCTATTTTAATTGTACTTTGCTTTTTTTTTTTCTTCTTAGATTCTTATAGTTAATATTATGATTGTAAAGACCAACACTTTGTTTTATCTTCACCCAATTTTTCAGCCTTGTCCTACATTTTTGTATAGTTTTTTAACAAAAATTAACAACTTTATTGCAAAAGGATTATCGACTCATATACCAGGGTAAGTCAAAAAATATCTGCACTTTTTCCATAACATGTATTAACACATTAACAAACTATCCACATTGATTCCTAAAATGCAAATAATTTTTGACTTTCCCCCATAATAAAATCTGTCATAAACTTCACTATGATGAGATACATAAGATTACATTTTAAAAAAATATGTATTTTATTTTTAAATGTATTTTTCCTGCAATATAGTTCTGACGTTGGATTTTAAATTAGTTATTGAAGACATCTGAGACCAAAACCATATGGCATATTGTTTTCCTTTTCTTTTTTTGTACGGCAAAGACACAGTAACAATCCTTAAAGAGTAAGGCATTTGGTGAGGATCGCACTTGTTAATTAAATGAAAAACCGGCTCATTTTGATGATAATGTTTATAAAAAAGGAAGGTAAAGAAAAAACACACAATAAAATTTCAAATTAAAAGAAAATCAAATTTAATAATGAAGCCGGAAATCAATCACTGATCAAAGAATTTTTTTTTTTTTTTTACTCACCTTTTGATGCCTCGTATATAATCTGATTAATTTTTTCTCTGTCCAAATTTTGCATTCCTGCTTTATGGTCATTGAGGGCCATTCTCGAAGACATAAGACTGCTATCCTCTTCTTTGGGGTCATTTTGTTTTCTTTGCTGACCAAGAGAAAACATCTTGGATTTGTTCTCCTCCTCTTTTTCTCCAAGATTTCTTCCCTTTTTTTTTTTTTTAGTTTTACTTTTCTGTATAAACTTTTTTTTTTATACCAAACCTTTTTTAATTTTTATAACCATCTTGAGTCTTGACCTTTTGCTAAGACCCAAAAAAATAGCTGCATAGCTAAGAAGATTGTAAAGTGCCAAACGCTGAAGCTTTTTTTTTAAAATTCTAGCAGAGCTTTGGAAACAGAAAAGAAAAGTCATTTCTTAACTTAAAAATAAAAAGGGTTCCTGGTTGACTCTCTTCACCATTGAGGATTTCATTCATTTATATTTTTGTATTCAATTATCAAGTTTATTTTCCCTTTTAAAAATGATTTAAAAAAAAAACACGAAATTGTCAAAGCGAATAAATATCTTTTCTAATTTTAAACTATAAAATTCATGTTTAAATAGTTTTTGAGTTTTTATCTAATTATAACAAAGTTTAAGAAGAGACTACAAATATATTTAAACAAAAAGAACGGCAGGCAATAAGACAATTGAAAAACTTGAATAAGTTTGAAATGGTTTAAAAAAATAAATTTTGATTTTTGAATGAAAAAAATGTGTTTCTGGAAAATCTCGTCAAATTTACGAAGAAAGCAGAAATATTAATCGAATAAAAATAAAAAACTAAGAAATAAAACCAAGGTGAACACAAACAGATATGTGTCTTTCTTTGACATTTCTCACCAAGCTTAAAATTTCTGCTTTCTTAACAAGACAAATATAAACTGAATCCACCGAGGTCACCATGTTTACAAAAAAATCCCCCAGTAAAACGGGGGAAAAAAAAACAAAGAAAATATTACGATCATGAAAATCTGATTATGGATGGCCAGCAAGACCGTAATGTACCACTGAAAACAAAAACTTATTTTAGAAATTTAAAAAATATAACCATAGTTTTAAAAAAAGTAATATATAGAAGATATATGTTTTATTTAGAAAATATTTACATAATTCGTTTAAATACTAATCTTTAAAGTTAAATATAAAATTAAAATATTTAACCTTAATGTTAACAGCTAAGAAATAATTTGTTTATGTTATTATTTTATTAACTTTAAATTAAGATTTTTTTAATCACATTTTTGTGAAGCTTACAAATAAATCAATAAATATTAAACATTCGTTTCGAAAACGCGAGCCGAAAAAAAAATGGTTCTTTTAGTCATCCATTATTTTTAATTATACCGTGATTTTAATACTGGGCAAAACGTAAATAAGTTTTTTCATTTTTTTAACCGATTTTTATCTATAAACAATGTGAAAAAAAAGTGGTTTCTCGTTTTTTTGTTTCTTGCATTTCAAAGAAGAAAAATAAACTTTAAGTGCATTTTCAACTTCGCTAAACATGTGACATTTTTGGTGGGTGAGAAAGAAAGATGAAAGTAGGGAGCATCCATTATTGTTCTTAATTTTGGCGGTATTGATAATTTAAAAAAAATATATATATATCGTTTTATTTTTTAACAAATTTAGTGTTGGTTGCAAAACAAAATCAACACCGATTTAAATGAATAACTGATGAATAAACTTTTAGACCTCCACCACTTGTTGATATACACTTTTTTCTCTTATTCGTTCGTTTTTTGTTGGCCAATAAATTCGTTCTGTTTTTAATACCGCTCGATAGCATTGGAAATTTAACTTCAGTGATTTTGTAGTTATTTGTGAGCTTAGTTTGGCACATGTATAAGACACCCAGTGAGGATCGAAGTCACTATTCAGTTGTAATAATAAACAAGTTACTTTACTCCTCCATCACACAGCACACTGAATCGCTTTTTTTTTTGCTTTTTTTTTTTTAACAAAAGTGCATGTGCGCTTTCGGTATGAAAGCAAAAAAAAAAAGTGCTAAACTCAATTTTTTTTTTAAAAAAAAGTGACTAAAAATCAATGGATTATCCGATTTAAATGAACTTTTCAGTATTTGTTTATTAAATAATGAATATTATGTTGAACAGGCCATTATTTAAGAAAACTTCGTAGAAATATATTTTTATGTGTCCAGTTTCACCCCACTTTTTACGTCCCTTTTATTTGGCGGGAAATGTGTTCGCGAATTTAGTTTTTGAAGAAAAATCCCTGAAGATGTAAAATTTCAGCAAAAAAAATGAATTATGCAATAACATCATCCCGAACTTTACCAAAAAGAATTCGATAAAAAAATGTTAAAATGTATTTTTGTTGAATGTTCCTGTATAATTTAAACGTTAAAAACATTATTTTCTCTCAGATTTGACAGGCAAAAAAATCAACATTGAATTTTTTTTTCTTTTTAAATTTACTTATGCGATTTTGAAATTCATCCAACTACTAGAGATTTTTGTTATTAAATAATTTATGAATGTTGTGAAGACACACAACAACTCCTATCAGTTAAAAAAACAAAAATATTATTTCAAATCTAAATATAAGAAACTTTTTACTTTTCACTTTCATTTTTTGAGGCACTATCAACATTTTTATTTTTATTCATTCAATTAGAAAAAAAAACAGCTTTCAAAACTAAAATAAATGATAAAAAAAATATGTGTACCTGTTCCAGTCACTATGGTAAAAAAAAATACACTTTTCTTATAGTTTTTTTTAAATAGTTGAGATATGATAATGTAATTACTTTTTTAATATTTTAATTTTTTTACAGATTTGATACCTGTTTTGTTCAATTTAGTATTTTTTGTTGAAAGTAATTGAATAACCCCACCTGACAGCAACCATCAGTATATATCGTGATGATCGAACTTGCTATTCAGTTGTAACTCTTTTAGCAAGACAAGCTTGCTAACCATTACACCATAGTGAGGTGTCCACTCTTACAGCAGTATATAGTGCATTTTAACTTTAAGAAAAAAATGCAACTCAAATAAAAAAAAAAATGTGCCGTAAATAATCAGATATGTCAAAAGTGGTTTGAAAAATCATTGTGCTGAAGATTTTGTTGTAAGTTTACGCTACACACAGATGATTGACTGTTACGGATTTAGCACCTTTAAAAATGTATGTCTTCTAAAACAAAGCTTTTCTTTCCCTTCCTTTTGTGTAGGATCACAGTTGCTATTTGGAAAGTCTTTGCAATCAGTCAGTAGCACTTTTCTTCTGGACTCAGATTCTATTGTTAACAAAAGGCATACCACATTTTATCAGTAGTATAGATATCTCCTCAGAATATTACTTACCCATTCACTGGTGACCCTGACAGATAAATGTAGACTCTATCCAACAATCAGCTTGATATTAGCATCTTACAGTACATATTCCTGAAAATGTTGCTACAGCAGTAGCAAATATTTTTAACTTCCATGGGAGACAATGAAATTCTTAAAAATTTGACCAATAAGGTGTGAAGATTACCCCCACTTCATCTGCCAAAACACTCAATAGTTGGCACTGTTTCAGGACTGTAAAAGAATGGGCAAATGAAAACTCTTCCGCTCTTAATCTGCAACAATATGGAATCTGTCTCTGCCAAAGCAGACTTCTTAGTCTCAGGGGAAACTAATTAATTTCAAAGAAACCACGTGGTTAATACATGCATACAATATAGCTAAGTGCATCATTTTTTTCTCATTATTTGAAGTATCAGTATATATGTAAATATAATTTTATCTCTTCTTTTGTAAGCGATGTTTGTTCTTTATATAAATATATATAAGTCACCTCCACATGTAGAAATTCATTTCTTCTGAAAATGTTGAATTTGTTTCTTTTGAAACTTTTCAAGTTGTTCATCACAATTCTTAAAAAGCCACATTCGTTACAAAGTAGCATCTTCCCCCTTACAACTGGTGACCAACAGCGACCTTGTTCATTTTAAATATGTCTTGAGTGGTCAGTGATTGGACAATGATGATGTAACCCAATCACACGCTATAAAAATAAGCTTGAAAAGCAAGTAAAAAAAGTTGACATCACACATGAAACAAATGAAAAGATGCTTTCACCATAGCTTTTCTAGAAAGAAGACCACAATTTAGGGAAAAATCAAGAACATGTTGGGATATTTGCTGTTATCACAAGATTTATTTGAGAAAAATGCAGCAATCTTTTTTAACAGGACATATGTAATTGTGAATTGGGTCAGCCTGATAAAAGACTCCAAGTTGGTTGTATGTGGTGCAGTAAGCACGAGGAGTTATGTCCTCTTCCACAATCGGCTGTGAGAGAAGACCTTCTACTTAGAGTAGGTGGCACTGACTATTTGCATATGAATGACACTGGGCAGGTATTAACCAGTAGTCAGCGTGGGTCTAGGACTGGGAGAGCTATATAACACCATTATTTTTCTCATTCGGGGGAAGCCCTCTCAACATGCGAATATGTGAAAACCAGATAAGATGAACACAACATGTTTGCACTTCAAAGAAAATCAACATTTTCATTTACACTCAGTAACCCCTTCTATCTTAGTGGCTTCATTGCCTTGCTTGGGGTGAAATGATTAAAAAATTATTGGTCAACTGTGGAGCACAAATATCATTAATCTCAGTTTCTTCATCAGGTAAATGGGAATAGACTGAAAAGGTTTACAGTATATGCAATGAACAACTACATTATTCATACGTATGGAAATAAATATTTAACATTTAGAGAGAGGCTTTTGATGGACCTTTGTCATAACTGACATAGCTGCAACAATGTTAGGCACCTACACAACTATGGTCTGCTGATAGATCTAAAAAAGCACAACTAATTGATATGCTTACTTACATTATTTACATTACTCAGACTGTTATCCAATTCTTCGTTGCCATATTCACAATGTTCCGGTCGTTGTATGCTCCTACCTTCTTCAGGTAGTTGGAATTTCTAACCACGGGGGTAGATTATTCTAGTTCCACATGCCATGCCTCTTCCAGATGTCTCAGTTATTTTCCCTTAACTCTCCAAGTTTTTGGTTCACCTCTGCTGTGGCCTGGTATTGAATTTATTTAGTGGATTTGTCTCTGTTAGAGAAATTAGTTCAT